TGGAAAGCTCCTCTGCTAGCTCCCTCAGTACTCTCGGGTGGATCCCATCTGGCCCCATAGACTTGTGAGCGTCCAGGTGGCATAGCAGGTCATTAACTGCTTCCTCCTGGACTATGAGGGCTCCATTCTGCTCTCCATCCCTGTCTTCCTGCTCAGGGGGCTGAGTACCCTGGGGATGACTGGTCTGGCTATTAAAGACTGAGGCAAATAAGGCATTAAGTACCTCAGCCTTTTCCTTGTCCTTGGTGACAATGTTTCCCCCCACATCCAGCAGAGGATGGAGGTTCTCCTTGGCTGTCCTTCTATTGTTGATGTACTTATAAAATCATTTTTTTATTTTCTCTTATGACAGTGGCCAGATTGAGTTCTTGCTGGGCTTTTGCTTTTCTAATTTCCTCCCTGAATGACCTAACAAGATCCCTGTACTCTTCGTGAGTTGCCCGCCCCTTCTTCCAAAGGCGGTAGACTCTACTTTTTTCCCTGAGTCCCCGCAAAAGCTCACTATTCAGCCAGGCTGGTTGTCTTTCCTGCCAGCTGGTCTTACGGCACATGGGGACAGCCTGCTCCTGTGCCCTTAAGACTTCCTTCTTGAAGAGGGCCCAGCCTTCCTGGACCCCTTTGCCCTTCAGGACTGCCTCCCAAGGAACTTTCCCAACCAACATCCTGAACAGGCCAAAGTCTGTCCTCTGGAAGTCCATGGTAACAGTTTTGCTGCCCCTCCTCTTTACGTCAGCAAGAATCGAGAACTCTATCATATTGTGGTCACTAAGCCCAAGATGGCCTCTGATCATGACATCTCCCATGAGTCCTCCTCTGTTTGCAAACAGCAGGTCAAGTGAGGCATCTCCCCTGGTAGGCTCACTTAACCAGCTGTGTCAGGAAGTTATCCTCCACACACTCTAGGAACTTCCTAGACTGTTGCCTCTTTGCTGTGTTGTATTTCCAGCAGATGTCTGGCAAGTTGAAGTCCCCCATGAGAACAAGGGCTGGCGATTGCGAGACTTCTGCCAGCCATTTGTAGAACAGTTCATCTATCTCTACATCCTGGTTGGGTGGTCTATAGCGGACTCCCAACAGGACATCTGCCTTGTTGGCCTTCCCCCTCATCCTTACCCATAAGCACTTGACCTTATCACCACTGTTGAGCTCTATAGAGTCAAAACACTCCCTAACATACAGAGCCACCCCACTGCCTCTCTTTCCATGCCTATCCCTTCTGAAGAGCTTATAGCCATCCAGTGCAGCACTCCAGTCATGAGAGTTGTCCCACCATGTTTCTGTGATGGCAACTATGCAACTCATAGCTATCCTGCTGCACAAGGGCTTCCAGCTCCTGCTGTTTGTTGTCCATGCTACATGCATTGGTGTAGATGCACTTGTTTTATCTAATGTATGAGTAGGGTTTGGGTTCATTGCAATGCATGAGTACGAGTGCATGTGCTACTCAAGCTAGTAGTGCTGTATGGGTAGTTTAACTTCAGTTCTTTTTGCTACTTGTTGATATCTTGTTTATTAAGCATGTTTTCCAAGGAGTTTTGCCACCTTTTGTGCTGAAGATGCTACATATATTTTCCTGTTTTGTGGAGCGCAATTTTTTTAGCATGGTATTTTAAAAAAAAAAAACCAACCCCACCCCTAAACTCCATGTTGCTGGAGGAATTCTTTGAAGGCTTAGTTGTGGCAATATCTGGGAGAGCCTGGTAGACCTAAGTTCAGCTTCTTAAATGTACTACATATCTCAAGGCATTGAACTTGAGTGATCCCTCAACTTTTGTCCAGTCCTTTCCCTGAATACTTATCAGAATAGATTCAAGGGCAGGATTTTGGTGAGCATACTGTATTTGCACGTCTGCTTGCATAATCTTTACTCTGCATGCACTCTTTTAACCTTTTTTGGCTCGGCTGCTGTGCCTAATCTCTCTATCGATTGCTTAATCTTGCTTTTGCTTAGTCATGGTAGGGATCCCTTACCCTTCTATCTGGTATCTTGGCTCTTTAAAAAAAAAAAAAGTGTTGGGTGATTTTGTTTTTTCTAAAAAAAAAAGGCAACTTTCTTAATCTATTAAAACAAACATCTGCTTTTAATGCAAAGATTCAAGTTTTGGAGTTTTGGTGCTGCTGGAAACTGGTACTAATAGTGTCTTCCTGATCTGTATGAACAAGTTTAACTTCTGTTGGAAGAGAATGATTGATAGGAGGCTATTATGGTGGATTTGAAGTAAATCCTAACCTGAATTGCCTAGACTAGTAGAAATGTTTATGCCATTTCTTTAATCTGCTGTCTAAGCATAGCCTTTCTGTTCAGCTATACTGCAGGCAAGATGATGCTAAATAGTAGAAATTTTGCCTTTTTTCATCATTTTAGATCCTGTAGTCAGAAGCATTAAAAATAGAATTGGGGCTTCAAAACCTTATTTCCTGTGTCACTGGTAAAGTGTTACAACTTATTTCATGGTTGCCTTAATCCAAGACAGTAGTACTAAAGTGTTTTCATCTTCCTTACCTAATCATTCCTGGTGTTTATGTAGTAGCTTCCTACTTAGAAGTTGAGTGGTGAATTTTTATGGCATGTTACTTATCTGTTATATGAATGAGTAACTTGAAACTGAGAAAAATCACTGAACTAGACGATGTGATAAATTTTGCAGTACATACAGAGTTATTTGACAGATAGAAATGTAGAACTGCATGCAGTCCCAAAAGCGTGTCCCAGGGAAGAATAAAAGTAAATGGAGAGCAGGGATTTAGGTTAAAGGAATGGTGGTGGGTTGAGGTATTAGGAGATATGGGACATGACTTCTGTACATCTCAGTGGTTTTATTAGCAATGTCATTTTGGGATTACCATAGTCTGCTAAAACCAAATTGCTGTTCTAGTGTCTTTTATGAGCTTTCAGTTGTGCTTCAGCAGTTCCAAAGTAGCTGGCTTACTAGATGATCATAAAATAACCTGCCAAAAGAAGTTATCTGGTCCAACCCTCAGCTCAAACTAGGATTAACTTGAAGGTCAGGTTCCTTGGTGCCTTGTCTAGGCAACCTCAACAGATGGAGATTCTGTGTGCTCCCTTGCCAACTTGTTTCAGTGCTTGATTGCTCTTCTTGTGAATAGCTCTTTTGTTGCATGTACCTGGAATGTTCTTGCTACAACTTACACCTTTTGGCTTTTATTCTTTTGCCGTATAAAGTGTTGTTTGGATAAAAATACACATTTCCTGCAGAAGTGAGGACATGGAATGCAACTTTAGCTAATAGTTGGGCTATTAAAAGACTGATTACCATAATGTTCTAAATGCTTTTGTTGCTAGGGGTAATGCCTCTTATTGCTCTGTCGCTAATGGCATAGAAACTTAGCTTCCTTGGTTTTGGCTTCAGAGAGTATATAAAGCTCTCTAGTTATTCAGAGAGGCTTATGTTTGCTACAAAAAGTCTAAAAGCTGATTTTGTATGGACAATTTATTTATTTTTAGAAATTAAGAATTTAGGTTTTTAGAATGTGGAATGGTTTTCAGTAACAAACCCAAACTCATTAAAAATTGCAGCACCCGGGTGGTGAAGAGGTCCTCAGGGAGCAAGCTGGAGGAGATGCTACTGAGAACTTTGAAGATGTTGGCCATTCCACAGATGCAAGGACACTGTCAGAAACCTTTATTGTTGGGGAACTTCATCCGGTGAGTATGTGAGAGTAACCGTACTACTATCGTGTTTTTGTGTCTAGTTATTTCTCTTAATTTACTTTAGAAAAAAGGAGAGCTGCTACTTTGGTTGGATGCTGGCCCTGCAGCTGTTTGTGGATAGACCTGGACAGGGGATAGGTTCCCCCAATGTGAAGGGATTTGATTAGTGTAGCATAAGGGTGGTCACATCTAAGAGTTTGCTGCTTTGAAATATTTTACAGCCTAGTTCTCAAATAAACTGAATATGGAATCATGCCATCTCTGGTGAACACTGTGAGCTTTATAATGAGACTATAACCCCTGAAGGTGGGCATATCAGAATGTCTAGACCTTTTCTTATGTCAGTATGCAGAGTGGTTACTAACAGCTGCTTTCATTCTTTCATCATTGTCAATATATATGCTAGACTTTTCTGTCTGGATCTAAAAATACAATCCTGGCTCTTCATATGTACATTTAGAAAACTGTTACTCTAAGCATCTTCTAGTTTGATGCTCTGTCTTCCCCCTCTCTGGCTCCCCCTGTTTTGTGCTGTGTCAGTGTTCCCTACTGGTAGTTCTCAGGGTTGTTTATGATCACTTCCTACTGGATCATCTGTCACTTCCTCTTTTCTATACTGTCCTTACCCTTTCCTGTACTTTTAACAAGCACCTTTGTGCTGCCTCAAGCTTTGAATGCTTTATTGCTAGCTGCAGAGCTGCTGCCTTGGCTTCCTTCAGATAGGCCTTTTTTATTTTTAAGCTCTCCTGTGTCTTAATACTTGAAAACCACTTGTTAGAGACTTAGGCTGATAGTGTGCCCGTCTGCTCTACTCTAGTGCCTGTCCCTGCCTTTCTCTTTTCCTCTTCTGTTTTGTCTTATATTTGGGGTAAATATCACTGTCTTAAGCAGCATATTTCACAGTAAGATTCCTGATCTTGTACTGGGTTTAGGTCCTCTCTTGATAAATGTTAATAGTGTAGCTTCTCCTCATGCAAAATAATTCTGCTCTGATGCATATTTGTAACCTTGCAGGCTTGTTATCTCTTCCGGGTGGCAGTTTTGCCAGTAAAGTTTTCTTAACCTGGTCACCAGTCCAGTTCGTTGTCTGACAAGTGCCTGTCTTCATTTGATATGAAACTAACAGCTTGATAGTTTAGTGTACAAATGCAGTGCTGTCAGGATTATATACTGTTGGGCTTTTTTGTAGCAAAATGTGACTATTTCAAGTAGAACTTAATGAGTTTGTGAAAGATCCATAGAATTTGGGATCTCTGTACTGTACATTGGACCAAAATGAGTTAGATGACTTTGCCTGATAATGAGTAGACTAGGTAGAAGTAAACTAATATGATTGTAATTGGTGTATAAGCTAAGGTTATGTGTACTGTTTAGAGACAAAAGAAATGCAAAAACATGGGCACAAGAAATACTGAAATATGTTGGGGACTTGGGTTTCACTTCTGCATTGTATCCTGGGAAGTGTTATTTAAGGAAGTGATCTTGTTTATGGTAGCTCAAAATCATACCTTGATATCTGCTCTTTTGCAAGTCTGTTTCGTAGGTAAAAATAGGTACACATTAACAGAATAGAATTGCAAACTGAATTTAGTGATAAATGTTATTTGAATGCTTTGTGTTTTTGTCTAAATGGGGTTTTTGCTTGTTTTCTTGCAGGATGATAGAGGGAAGCTTCAGAAACCAACAGTGAGTATTTTCTTGAAATGCCACGTTGTTTCTTTTAGTCATTAGGAACGGTGTCTCTTGGAATGGTATACACCCAGAGGCAAAAATAATTCAGTTTTAAGTGTAGTGTTTCAGGTCATAAATCTCTTAAACCTGTTGATCTGGCTTCAACTTATTCTTCATGTTAGCTGTTCTTTTCTTTAATTTGTGTGGTTTTGAACCAAGAGGTTATTAAGTGTGATGGCATTACACTATAGCAAAAAGGTGAGTCTAGAATCAGTCAATGGTTTTCTGGTATTCAGTTTAAGAAAAAAAAAGTTTATAGACAGAATGGATTAAACCAATACATGTTTGTGGGGAAAATGTGGTGCTTAACAATGTGTTGATAACACTAGTAGATATAGGATATAGATTGCTGTATTATAGATAAGTTAGTTTGCAACCCTTTTCAAGGTGAAAATACTCTTTGCTTCCTGACTTTTTCAGTAGACTTTGAGTGTCCTGTCAATGCAGTATTGCACTTATTTTCTAATTTTTTTTTTCTAACTTTAATAGAATAAAGTGTGTTGGCACTCAACTACCAAACTTGTAAAATTCAGGTGTCCCTTAAAGGAGCAAGTGCATCAGGGATTAATTTGTACAGTTGCTGCTGCGTCTATAGAGGATGTTTGCTCAGGGCTGGCTTAACAGTACAGCAGTGCACTTAAGTAGTTGAAGATTACTTTGAAATGAAGTGTAGTAGGAATAGTACCTTACTCTTGCTGTTGAGAGATTACTTTTAAGAAACAAGCACTCTTGTAAGATCTGCCAATAATATGAATAAGTTAAGGGAAAGAAAGTTAAAAAAAAAATGTATATACACAGAAATGTTTGTTATAGTAATTATTAACTGTATTATTAATTAAGGACTGGAACTAGTATACTAATAAAATAAAAAATGGAGTGGTGTCTGGAATTCAGAGCTTCTTCCCACCAAGAATAACATTTGCTATTTAGATTTCTTTTGAAAATTTAGGCAACTTACTCTTAAGCTGTAAGAGCAGCAACCACAGATGCAACTGAAAAGCAGACTGCCTAGTGCAAGTTGTAGTAATACAGTCCTTTGACTAAGCTCACAGGAACTTCAACTGAACTGAAGTACTTTGAATATTAGTTTGGCCAGAGTGAGGTCAGTTGGGAGTTAAGATGTATCCAAATGACTTTTTACTATGCTGCTATTTGGCTTATTCCCTTGTTCTAGTGCTGGCCATAGTTACCTAGGCTACACGTGTGTGTTCCATCATTCCAGAAGAAAGCTGAAGCACTTTCCTCCAGCAGGACATGTGTACATAGCTGATAAGACAGTTTTACTCTGCATTGTGTTCTGGGTGTGTAATGTGACAGGTTAGGCCCTGTGTGCCGTGGCTCTCTAGGAGCTGTCAGAAGGCCTTGTGCGGTCAAATGTCCTTCTTGTGTATTTAAAGTACACCCAGTGTACGTGTCCAGTGTCATACTGTTTAAAACCAAGTTTTTGTTGAACTGGGCCGTGTTCTTCTTGCTGTCTTGGTGTGTGTGGGGGAAACATCCCCTCACCCTAGAAGTGGCAAGTCTGTTGTGGAAGATGTTAGCCTTGATAGTGTGGGCACAAGCTCTTCCATACTGTTTGGCTTCGGGATTAGTTTTTCATGGAAGCGTTCACAAACCCAATATAGATGTAATCACTGAGTCTTATCCTTTTAAACATGGTATTTGTCACATGTAAACTTGTGATGATTTGGGTGCTTGAAAAAGTAGCCTATTTGAACCTGTGAGAGGATGTTAGGAATCTTTCACTCTTTAAATGAATTGCAAATATTCTGATTCTAAAGCAATTACTTTTTCAGCTTGTACCACTAAATTTTAGTACAGTTTTAATGCTTGAATCTTTTAAATGCACTTAGGACCATGTGCAATTAGTAGTATTCAAATTAATAAGTCTTCATATAAATTGTGCACATGTACCCAACTGGGATTTGATCTTGTAGTGCTGCTCTTTCTGTGGAAGCTGAACAAGAAATCCAAACCAATATCAGAAACAACTATAATAATTTGACTGATTCTTATGCAGTCTGAAACACCACACTAAAAATTAGTTTAATAAGCCTTATTGATGTAAATTAGTAGCTTTCTTCATGTAGGTTCCATATAAGAAGTATTTGTGTATTAATTCAGAGTCTTTTCAATTAGATTTTAGGCAAGTAAGGGATCTTTGTCTTTTAGGTGACATTTGAAAAGCTTTAGTCACCTGAGGTTGAAGTTAACTTCATGGAAAACTTGCAGCAAAATTCCTTGTGGTGGTATTTTTTAAATAACTTTTGATGCAATATTGACTACAGAAACTGCTGCTAGCTAGCTTCTAATATAACAGTCTGTTATAGGAATTCTGAGAAAATGCTTTCCAAATGCAATGCACTGAGTTGTTTTTAAATTAGTCCCATTTAATGAGTTTTGAGCAGTTGAGGGGCTAGTTAAGATGGAGAGGGATGTCTGCCTGATGTAAATATCTCTTTATTCTTTGCTTTCCAGGAAACTCTTATTACCACTACTCAGTCTAATGCCAGGTATAGTATGACACCTGATGTCAAACTTGGTTCACTATGTTTCTGAAGCTTAGGAAGCTGAATAGCTTCTGCCTGCTGGAAGCTTATATGTCAGAGGATGGTGCATGAAAATTTCTGTTCTATGTAAAGTCCAAGTTGGCATCTGTGTACCACTTTACAAGCATGTTAGCTTAATGCCTGGATTTTTTTTCTCACATTGATATGCATCAGTCTCTAACAAATGGTTTGTGTTGCACAAGCCTTCATTTCTGGAGGCTGTCAGGTGAATAGAAGATACTTGGTGCCATAGCTGACTTTTTTTACTGACGTGGACACCTTACTTTTAAGACTTGCTACACCAGTTGCATCTAAGGGAAATAAGAGTATCGTGTCTCTAAGAAGGAAAATCTTTTGGAATTGGGAGGGGGTGGAAAGAACACTTTGGAACACCACTGAATCAAACTTTAAAAAAAGTTATATCCTGCTGACAACTGCCTACTGCTGAAACCTCAGAGGACTGTTCCATGCACCTCTGAGTGGGGAGCTTGGGTGCTTGAAAGTGTCATATGATGCTGCTACTTAAATGGCCTTTGAAAGAATAATATTCTGGGCAGCACATGATGACTTTGAACATGTCTAGAGTCTTACTATTCTCTCGTAAGCAAACTTCTTGTAAGCTCTAGTACAAAGCCTTAACAGTACAAGCTTTTTTACTTGGCTTGAGTATTACTGGCTAGCTCAGGTGTTCTGTTGTCATAACATGAACGTATTTGTTGGGGTGGGGAGGAAGGACTTCTTTAAGCAGTGACTTTTTTGGTTGTGTGTTTTAAACTTGCTGGTTGTCACTCCCTAAACTGCTATTTCAAAAACTTCCTTCTAGTTCATGGTCCAACTGGGTGATCCCAGCAGTAGCAGCAATTATCGTGGCCCTGATGTATCGTTCCTACATGTCAGAGTAAGCACCTTACTGCAAACTAATGTAAGAAGAGACTGATCTGGGAGAATATAAGCAATCCTAACCCAATATGTTTCCAGACAAAAGCCTGATGTCTGAAGAAAAATTCCAACTTTTTCAGAAAATTGAACAATTCTTTTCTGCTGTGCACTTTTTCTTAATGTTGCCTTCTTATTTGCTGTTCTGAAGCAATAAAAAGGCAGCACTTCTCTTTTTGTATAACAAGTTTATTCTCTAATGAATTATTTCATAACTGTATTTGTTTCTGTGTTAGAATACTGTTTTGTATGTAATACTCTGATTCTGGTTATTTCTCTTTTTAATCTGTAGTGGGGTCCATAGGACTCTTATATATAAATTTTACAGCTTTAAATGACTACCAAAGCTGTGTACATGTATTTGTGCATGTACACAACTTAACTTAAAATCATGTTGTCTTCTTAATGTACTATGTTTGAAATGCTAATTAAATGTAATGGAAAAAGCTGAGTGGAGTAGTAGGTATAGGTGCCTGTAAGCAGTTGGGCTGTACCAATTGGGCTATAATGAGCTGATTTTTTTTCCCTTTCCTCCTGACATCTGCTCTTGTTGTAGATAATCCTGCTAGCAAGCTGTTCTGTTTGATGCCCATTGAAAAATTCAGGTGAACTGTGAAACACAATGTTTGACCCTATTAGGTCTGTCTCAATTCTGTGAAAAGTAGCTCTTTGCAAAAAAGGCAGAAAAAGTGCTATGTAAATTCCACTACAGGTAATGTAACTGCTACTAAATAATACTGTTCCTGCCAAGCACTCAGGTGATTCTAGAATTTGTTCTGGAACTTTTAGACTTTTTATAAAATCTTTGTCATGTGTGTTGTGAGGGGAAAAATTGATACATGGAATCTGTTTCTGACTGCTCTGTGATGTGCTCCTTGGTGCTTTACTATGAAGAGATGACTATTTTCACTGCTAAATACAAGATAACTGAAAGTTTGCATTTTGTGGTGAACATTTTTAGTCATATGTAAATGACCATGAATAAAAGTTTAATTGCTTACTCATGCTGGCTCAAATATGTTCATTCTAAACTTCTTTGAAGGCATTGGAAGGGATGCTCTTGCATATTGGGACACTTCTTAGAAGTACCTGTTTGATGGTGTGTCCTGAAAGTCAAGATACTTCCCCTACGCAGGGAAGTTGCATACAAGAAGTGGGAAAAGTGTACTATGGAGCAGTTAGCATAGGTAAATGTTTTCATCAGCATAACCTCAACACCAATTAATGACTTAACAGTGGTTTGGCCCTGTAAGTTCAGCCTCCCAAACATACCTCAGGACTTGAAACACTAGTCCAAGGGCCACCTCTTGGCGGCACCAGGGAAGTTGCATGCAGTTTAGGCCCTGTGTCAAGTCAAATCAAACTGAAAGATAGTACACTGTAAACGCAGCTTCAAAAAAAAAAGGGGGGGGGGAAGTGCTGTGACTTCAGGAGATTGTCTTGTTCATATGTAGGAATATGTCAATACAGGTATCCTTCAAGAATTCCTTATTGTGGGAATTCCTTTACTGTTAAATAGCAAATAAGGAGATCTTGTACAGCTTCAGCTGTGAAAGTGTTTAGGATCTCTTACATTTGTATTCATGTGTTCTGTTGGACTTGGTTTACAGATATAGACACATGTACACTCACAGTACATCAACTTCTTTACCTTGAAAATTATAACCTGCAGTATAAATGGCAGTGTTTGGGCCTGTGTCTAGCACTAACTTATTTTGTCCTAGCTTTTCCTCTGAATGTGGTGAAGCTGAGTTTAAAAACTCAGGCTTCATTGACTTCTTAATAAATCCTTTTTAAAGGTTATCTGTAACTTATAAATCAAGTTTGAAGTTCTGAATTTTCTGTTTGTTTTTAAAAATAACATTGAAATTTGCAAGTCTAGGTTAGGCAAAAAAAAAAAACAATACAACAATTTTAGAAAGCTTAACCTTTCATATATTTTTCTTTTTTTGCAAGAATTTCAGACTGGAATAATTATGTCCACATCAGCAGACAGGGTAGTGCAATCAAAGTGGATTCATAAGGCAAAACACTTCTTGCAAAAAGCCTTTTCTCCATGCTGTATATGTTTTGGGAGTTTTAGTATAGTATAGCTCTGTTTGGGTCCCATATACTGGATGTTTATTGGGGGCCAAAGCACATGCAATCCCCTGGAGTACCTATGCAAGCTCAGTTCCATCTAAAAGCAGTCCAGCTGACATGTGCAGGGAATTTCCCCAACGTGAACCAAAAACACAGTGAGCGGAGCTGAGTAGGCAATGCTTTGAAAACTGATACAGGTTAAAGTGCTAATGTAGATGGATACAGCTTGTTTCCTGTAGTTGGTCTGGTCATATTCCCTTCCACCTGTGCTGGTGTAAGTTTTTCCTCAGAGGTGGACATGACTGTTTCAGGCTTTTAAATGTAAACTGATAAATTTATAAACTCAAAAAATAATCAGGCTTATAATTTGCCTTTTTAATACCCTAAGATGAGAGCTGCTTTCCATAGGGATCATGCAGGAGTTTTTATGTGACTTTAGATTTAATTATGAATACAAGAGGAAGAGAAAAGGTATATGGGTGTGGTGAGGAATGAATGACTATGCCACTGAAAAACTAGTTAAATTAAGGATAGTCAATGTTTTTATGGTCTGACAGCAAAAGGACAGAGTCTGCTTTCTTCTCAGAATAAAATCCTTTGTCCCCAGATCTGATCTGAAGGTACTTGCTCTAATTGTCCGACAATTAGCTTTAATACTCATTTTTGTTTGGAGAGGCTGGTTTTGGTGGTCAATGCTTTAAATCAGTTGTCCCATGTTGTTTCCTTGTACAACTTCACAATGTTTACACTGCCTTTGTATCCTGAAATAAATTGTTCAGGATGTGTAAGTCTACAAACCAGACCTTCCTGCCTCAAGGTCCCATGAGAGTCTTGATCCAGGATGGTGTCTTGGATCACATACAACATACATCTACAGGATCAGACTAGTGTTCATGACAAATTGTGCTTTTTCATATACAGTAAGTTGGTATTCAGGAGTAAGTGTCAGCATGTGAGAAAGAGTGGGAACAGTTGCTGGAGAAAACAGAAATAGCCTGTGAAGCAAAGACTGTCATCCATGATTTTCTTTCTGAGCTCTGTGCCCTAACTGCTAAGCTGCAGAGAGTCTTACTCTCAACTCCCTGCTATGAATCTGGCATTGTTTTTTCTCTTGCTGGAACAGATGAACTGCTTGAATATTTACCCTGGTTCTTGGACAAAGTTTTACAGCCTGGGTGAACTCTGGCCTAGTTTAGAGCAAGCTTGGATGCGTCTGCATCATTCCCGTAGGTGTGACCTTACTGGTTTCTGCTGGGCCTCACTTCTGGTTTGCATGAAGCACACAAATACAGCTCCAGACTTGTCGCACACTTCCATGTGGGAACCTTTTGGTTTGTTCCTGAAGTCGGCACGAGCTTGTTAGGAATTCCTTAAAAATAGATAGCCTTCTTACCTCCAGCTGCTAATAAGAATTTTTTTAAAAAAAGCATAGGGCTAACATTAACAACAAATCACCCAACTACATTCTTGTTGTACTTTAGAAATCCACATATTTTAAACCCATTGGTGCAGGGACTTCACTCTTGTGTGTAAAATATGTAGTGCAAACAGATCCTGATCTTGTTTGCAGTGCTCAGTGGTTCTAATAACACTGCTGAAAAGGGTATCAGTAACGGGGCTTGCAGGCAAGCGGATGAGTCTAAATTCCCATATAAACACAAATTTTTGCATGTCAGTGTTAGATGTTTTGCTTACTATGTAAACTACCAGAACAATTAAAAATCTGAATTATGGAATGAATTAAGACTACAAACTTTGTTTTGAAACTGAGCACCAAATGAGATGCTACGTGTGAATGTTGCGATGACCTGTGGCTGTGTGCTGTGCTATGGAGTGTTATTTAAAAGTGGAGTACATATGTTGCTCAGCACACTATTTCTTCTGGCATACTGCACTCTAGTCATTCTGTCTTTTGGGTAAACATTCCCCTAATGATCTCATTTTGACTCCACTCATACAATGCTATTAGAAGGCAGCTAAATTTACTTTAATACTGGTTTTATTAACACAATAAAAAAGGACTTCTAGGTTTTTAAAGTGTCATATAAGTGTTGTGACTTCTAGTATTCATTGATCGTATCCCAGATGTTACCTTTGGAGATCAGTGACCAGGAAATGTCATGAAGAAAACAGGATTTCCACAGAAATTAGATTGCTATATCATAAAAATGCCTTCTTTTTTAATTTAAAACTTTAAATAAACTTTAAGCTGAGGCAACAATGTTCACTTTAGAGGGATCAACCCAGCCTATGCAACAAAGTGCTGTCAAAGTGCTCTGGAGTAAGGATAACCTTCCAGAAACATGTTCGCTTAGGCATTCCTGGTTTTTAGCATCTTGTTGCATAAATCAGCTATGTGTAGACCACAAATCCATTCAAGCAGCTGCTCAGCATATGACAAATTTTGTCTCCTACGAGTATAACAAAATGGGTGTCATCTTTATCAATGTGTTGCACTATAAACAATATAAATAGTAGTATCAAAACAAGTTTTAGTGTCTTTTGTTTAAGTGGCTAAGACATTAGCAAAAGATATACCATATAACCTGGTTATCATCCTCCTCTTGATTTCTCCATTTCATGAAATAGTTTGAGGCTTATTACAATTTCATGTGCCCAAGCCAGAATGCAGGAATTTCATATCTCTGCCCTAGTAATAAAAAATTTCATAGGGTACATTCAATGACTGCACAAGGTCAGAATTGGATTTGATTTCCACTCTAAAAGACAAATGAAAGGTTCACCAACATACTACATTATCTTTTTTTTCAAACTGTAGTATTTCAAATACTGAAGTTCACATCCAAAAGTTCCTGCAGTTTCTAATGATACTGTGAGTTACCATGTCACCAAGCAGTTCAGAGATGAGAAGTATCATAGTAAAATAGAAATAGTGTGCGGGACTCATCAGGGCTCTTTAAATTGCTGACAATAGAAAAGAGTAAGGAAGGTAAGTGCAAGTTTAACTAGTTTTAATTGGTAAAATAAAAGTAAGATTTGCTCCAGGCAGTGGGCATCAAAGAGCACATGGATTTGAAAACTGTGAGAAACTCTTCTCAATAAGTAAAAGTTGCTTTTCTTATGCCACCTTCTGAGTGTCGTGCAACACTTAGCTGGTGCTGGTTTTCAAAAGCAGAGGATTTCTAGAGTTATCTTTGGGTCGACCAGCGGGGTTAGCTCAGTTGGTTAGAACACGGCGCTAATAACGCCAAGTTCACAGGTTCAATCCCTGCTCACTGCAGGGGAGTTGGGCTCGATGATCTCTCAAGGTCCCTTCCAACCCAAAGCATTCTATGATTCTATGATATGATTCCTGCCCCGCTCCTCGCACGTTGCGGCTCCCGTA